CTGAATTTATTTAAACAATAAAAAAGAATGAAAAATTCTTAAACAAAAAAAAACTAAAAAAACATCGCTCACTTACAAAAAAAAAAAAAAAAAAAAAAAATAAGAAAAAAGAAAAGAAATAATTAAAAAAAGTCGATACGTTCATTTTAAGGTACATAAGCGCTTCCTTTCTTGCCTATTACAAATGGGACATGTTTAGAGATGGATGAATAACATGGTGTATACATAAGTTTAAATAAACCAGTATACAACGATGGTGATTCAATAATTTCGGCAAGTAATTTTGATTAACCAGCCTTCCCTATCATCTATCTACAAAAAATGTATATATATATATACATATATATGTATCCAGCGATGATGACAATAACCTAATAATTCCAGAAAATAATTTTGATCAATCGGTCATTCTCATATCTACACAAATAAATATCCAGTGATGATGATGATGATGACAATGATGGCCCTATAATTCCGGTTAAATAATTCTGATCAACCATCATTCTCTCATCTACGGAAGCAAATTCCCAGAAATAGTTTTGATCAATCGATCATTCGCTCATCTATCTTCAAAAATAAATAATTATCCGATGATGATTTAACAGTTCCGGAAAATAATTTAGATTAACCGGTCATTTTCTTATCTGTCATCAAAAATAACCGATGATAATCTAACAATTCCGGAAAGTAATTTTGACCAACCGGTCATTCTTTCATCTATTTTTCAAAAACAAATATCTTACATTATTAACAAGACAATTTTTTTTCTCTCAAAAATAAAATATATTTTGAAAAGATGAGTGAGGGATGGAAAAGAAAGATTGGAATAAAAGAGAGGGAGAGAGAGAGAAAGGAGAAGAAAAAGGACATCAAAAATGAAAGGAATGTTTGACAGCTAACAATTCAGCCATAATATTGATATGAGCAGACATCATATGGCTCCAAATTTTTAAAAAAAAAAAAGTATAAAAAAAAGATAAAAGAAAAATGGTATGGGGAGGAGATAAAAAGAAAAAAAAGGGTATGAAAGAATGAACAAAACAGGGAATCATAAGAAGTAAGAAAAGAAAAAAAAACGAATGAACAATTTTTTATACATAAAATATTTTATTATATAAAAAAAAAAACTATATATTATAGAAAATGATTTAAAAAGAAAAAAGGATTTTTTTCTCTTCAAAAAGATCAATTATATGAAGGAGAAAGACAGAAAGGGAGAGAGAGAGGGAGACAGGGGAAAAGAATGAAAGAACAATGAATTAAAATTGGACAATAGTGACAAATCGATGTGAATGGACAGATGGACAAACCTCATTGTTGAAAAAAAATTCAAAAAAAATTATTTTATAAATATATAAAGAGAAAAGGAGAAGTAGAGATAGGGAGAGAGAAGGAGAAAAAAAGAGAGAAAAAGATACATATGGACATTATCATTGTCATAAAGATCATCTGACTAATCAAGTTTAATGGCATTCTTTAAAACACTGTCACTGTCCTCTGTCATCCCATCCTCCTCTTCCTCTTCTTCCTCCTCCTCCTCTTCCTCTTCTTCCTCCTCCTCCTCCTCTTCCTCCTCTATCCCATTTCTGTTTTATTTCTCTCTCATTCTGACTTTTTTTAATTGATGCTTCTTAAGCAAAATATTCATTTCATTACTGTCACATTATTATTCATCAGTGAATCATGAATTATTTATAATTGATATGACTATGATTATAATGATAATGATAATGATAACAGTTATAATGATAATGGTGAAAAAAAGAAGGAAACAAAGATGGAAATTACGATAATATTGATTTAAAAGATGATTCTCTTAATTTTCAATTTAAATATTTGACTATTCTTAAAACAACTTCGGTAATTGTTAAATTAATTATAGGCAGTATATTTACATATGCATAGTTCCAGAAAGAAGATTTATTTCTCTTTCTCTCGTTTGCTTTCTTTCTCTAAAAATTACTATCCATTAAATGAATTCATACAAAAAACCTGTATATCATTTTCGCACATTTTTTTTTTTATCAATAATACCTTCTTCTTCAGTACTTTTCTCCAATTCAAATTAATATAAGTATTAATATATATAAGTATTAATATTAATATATATAAGTAATGTATGGATCAGTATATGAATTCAATATATAAGTTTTAAATACTAATTAAGATATTGATCGAGAAGTTTTCCAACCTATTTCCATTATTATCAAATATTGTATTGCTATCATCAAATGCTTTCATGTAAAAATAAACAATTTCGATAGAAACGATAAAACTTTTTGTTTTCCAATTTGAATTTGAATGCACATTTCCCTCGGGAATTCCGGTGGGTTAGTGAGATCACAAATGTTACCAAAGATTTTAAGATTTTTTTGATAACAAAATTTTAGGTTAAAGCTCAAAATTCTTACACAATTTTACAATATATTTAAACATTACATGCGTATCATTTTACAAAATACTTGACAAAAAAAATTAATAGAAGTAATGCTGATGTTGATTAGATTAGATAAGTTGAAAATTATCAAATAGAATAAAAAGAATAGAATGGAGTAGAATAGGATAGAACTGAGTAGAAAAGGAGAAAGTAAAATAGAATAGAATAGAATAAGGTAGAATAGAGTGGAATAGAATAGAAGAGAGTGGAATGGAATGGAATAGAATAGCATAGATCAGAGCAGAAGAGAATTGAATGGAATGAGATAAAGTGAAAGCTGATCAAAGTTATCAAGTAATATTAAAAAAACATTGGCAATCATTTATATCAAAAATTGTTGTCGACAGTATCCAACGGAAGAGAACGGAATGGAATAGAATAAAATAGAATAGAATAGAATAGAACGAAGCAGAATGGAGTAGTATAGATAGAATTGAATAGAATGGAATAGAATACAATAGAATGGAGTAGAATAGAAAAGAATAAAGATATTTTTTTTCTCTAAACATATAATAAAAATTTAAAGTATCGCATAGCACTAAAAAAAGTTATTGTTAATCATTTTTGTATGACAAAATTGAAAATAATTTAACAAAAAACGACAAAAAAGAAGGGAAAAGAAAGAGAAGAGATGAGATGAGAAGAGATGGAATGAGAAGAGAAGAAAAGAGAAAGGGAGGGGAGAAGAGAAAAGACGAGAGAAGGGGAGGGAGAGAGAGAGAAGATTGGTTGACTTATTGAAAGAAAGGAAGGGAGAAAGGGAAATGAAACCAATGCAATATAATGTGAATCGACCTTGTTCAAATTTAGATTCAAATTTAATTAAAATGCATAAAATTGGCAAAAAAGAGAGAAAAGAAAAAGAAAGGAAAGGAGGAGTCAATTTAATAGTGGAGAGGAAAAGAAGGAAAGAAAGGGAAGGAAAAAGGAAGAAGTGGAAAAAAAGGAGAGAAAATG